CTGCAGTCCAGTCACTGTAGCTAGCAGTTTGCTCCGTAGAATTGTTTGGGAGGTAAGCAGGGTCAGTTTGCCTGGCAAACTCAATTGGTGCTGGCTGGATAAGTGTCTAGAAGATATGACACTAGAATATTTTGAGTGTATCCCCACATCTTGTACAATAATAAATATAAATTAAAGCTTCCAGGGCAGAACCCTCCCTTCCTTCCAAAGGCGGTGGTAGACACTTCATATAATATGGCTGTTGATGAAGCCAGGGACTAGTCTGCATCTTTCCACCAACAACCATAAATCAGGCCTGATTTTCGGGTAGTAAAGGCACATACTCTGGTGTCTTCATAGTGTAATCTGCTAGAATGAAAGAGCAGGGTCTATTCTCTGCCTTTGTAATTTTTCCCCAAGAACCTTAGCAACCTCCATGAGGATGGACACAGTTTATTGTGTCACATAAATGAAAAAAAAAAACCAAACCAACAAACAAAACATAAAACTAAGTATTCCTGTTAGCTGAATTTTCAGATCCATATTACAGTCACCCAGGGTATAGCAGTATCATTTCCCATGCTCAGTTTCCTAAATGACTATGCCACATCATCTATTAACTTTCACCTCCTCATTCAGCCTCAATGTGAGAATAACAGTACATTATCAATTCTTGAAAATACAATTGATATTCATTGGAGTGTACTAATGGACCTTAATCCTAATGTGTGAAGCTTGGTACCCAACCCTCAAACAATGAAACTGTACCTAGATGACTAGGGAATAAAAGATCTATTATACTGGCACTACTGTTTGAATAAAGGTTATGTCAGAAACTTTAGAGACACTGATGGTTGTTGGCATATTTAGAAGCTATTTAAAATCTAATAATCAGCAGCCCATAATGTCTGAGATGTATAAATACATACAGAAATGTAATTGAATGCATGGGATCTGAAAAGAAATTATGCTCAAGTCCAGAGTCAATGACACTTTATAAAGCATATTCCTTTGAGAGTCTATTGAGGGGGGAGTACTATGGGCCTGAACAGAAAGGAAGGAAGAAAAAAATGTTTTACCTCTCCTTGCTGATGCCTCTCACGGGAAGGCTCTCTGCTGGTCTGGTTTATTTAAGCACCAACTGGGAAGAGCAGCACAACCCACAGCGCTGAGTGGGAGCGGAGGTGGAACCTCTTTTGGGTTCCTCATGTCAAGAAACTGCACTTGATACCTGTCACTGTGCCAGAAAGGCATCTCCAGGGCAGAGGCCCCTGATTCATAGGAGTGACTCTAGTGGGCATGTTTCGTCTTTGATTTATAGTTGAAATAATTAAGTATTTCTCTGGAAGGGTGTAAATTTGCACTGAATGCTCACATTGGTGGCATTAAGACATTACCTATGTTAATAAGATGCTAGGGGAGAGGGTGAACAGAAAGGTTGACTATGAATATCATCACCTAGGGGAAATAATTTTGAAGTAAGTTGATATTTATAGTGATTAAGCAATTGTCTGAGGTTTTGATCCTTCAAAGAGGCATGAACATAAACTTTAAATCTGCAACTTGTCACACCGGAGACAGTTCTGTGACTGCAAGTGACATTGCTTTTATGTTAACAATCATCACACCTAAAGTTAGACCGGGATTTTTTTTTAAGCTTGGATATGCAGATTCCTTATTCTCCCATAAAAAGCCCAGATTTGCTATATATTTGAGCTGACAGAGCTAAGCCAGTTGTCTGAGGCTGTTGTACAGTAAAATCATTTTTCACTCTTGACAGCTGATTAACACAGCAAGTTCCCCAACCAGCTGACCAGCTGATGGTTGAGAGAAATGGCATGTTTAAAGCACCCCTTTTGTCTTATTGACTGTCTTTATATGATGTGAAGAAAAAAAAAAAGAAATTTTAGCCTCCATCCCAAGGTCCCATCAATTATATTTGCACATTGCCATTGAAAGAAAATAAAATATGCCTGGTGAATGACTTGGTTTCAAAATGAAGATAGGAGATTGCACGAGAAAAACTATTACATTGCAGAGATCTCTCTGGAGCATGAGACACTGGGACTGGAGCACAAAATGGCATTTAAGAGCCCCAGGAGCTCACTCTTTACTAAAGTGCTCCTGTCCTTTTTATTCACTCAACTGAATTTAACGCTATGACCCATAAAACAGTTATCAGCACCTATAGGGCAAAGACACCCTGGACTTCAGCTGGTACTTACCCCAGTTGCACGCTTAAGCTGAGGTGTGTAAAGGGATGTCTCCTCTCTTCCCACTCACAGTGAAGTTGCTGGGGCTTAGCTGCTCTGCCGCTTCGTGAAGACTACCCAGTCAAGGGGACATTACGGGATCATGCCCTTATTTGAGCATTTTGGACACATCTCTGCAAAGAGTAAAAGGCTGTATTTCACAGCTATGATATCATTCTTGTGAGCTATATTTCAGCATGAGCCACTATAAAACCTCTCCCATGACATCAGACCTGTGAAATATAGCTGACTTCAAGTGCAGAAAATTCCCCTGCAGGAATAATTGTTTCCTGGCAATTGGCATTTGAAGGACTGATTCTTTAAAAGTCTGGCACAAATCCTGTCCAGGTAATTCTGTTCCCAGCAGCACTGCTCAGGAGATGTTATGTGCAGGAGCAGAGGTATGGAGCCCCACTGTGGGATTTGGCCGTAGGGGTAATGAGACGAGCACTGGGGGAGCCTGTCAAGCGGTGATTTTCACTCCCTCACACCTCAGCAATCCATGCAGACTTCACTAATAGCAAATAATAGGTTTGCTCATGTGCTGTGCTCCTTACCTCAGAGCCTGCTTCCCCGATAAGGCAGGGCATGTGAGCACAGCCAGGGCTACCGTCTCATCCGTCTTTTCACATCTGTGCTCCGAGGACAGATGATGACCAGCACACTGTTACATGGCAGCTCGCCAGGGCTGGCGCTGCCCAGGGTGCAAATTAACTCACCTGGGCAGGCCCCAGCATCCCTGCAAAGCAGCCTGGCAAGAAAATGGAAGTTAAAAATATTGTGTGAGACATAATCTCCTATTTCATATCACGTCAGGGAAGATGCCTGCCAGAACAGGCACCACTGAGAGCTGGGGGTTAGAGGAGTGGATGTTGGCAGGGCCATAAAGGACAAGACCCTGTGCAGGTGGAAGGGTACAGGAGGAAGATAAGAGAGAATGTAAAAACTGGGAGAGACTTAAAGCCACCTCAGCTCTCCCAAGCCCGGTGCCCACGTCCCCCTCTAGTGACCTGCACATTTATTTGCCGGTGCTGCATGAGTCACACTGAAGGTGACTGTTGAATGCCTTGGGAAGCATAGTCACACTGGCTTTTCCCATTCCTCCTCTGTGAAGGTCTTCTTGTGGTGGGCTCGGGTAGTGTTCTTGTTGTTATATCTCTGTGTGTGTACATGTTTACTTGCATGTGTGTTTATGCCTACGTGTCTGTGTCTGCCTCACAACACTCCAAGCCTTACGTGGACACAGCTCCCATGGCCTGCAGGACAGAATTGTGTTTACCTACAGAAAGTTCACTGGCATTAACAAGAGCTAACTAGAAGCCTTCCCTCTTCTCCACAGGAAACTACACTGCTTCAGAATTAATTGTACCTTTTCCATTTTTCCTCTTGATGTTAAAACCCTGACTCCTCCTCACCCAGAAGTTACCTTTTTACAGTATTTTACCTTGTGAAGCAGTAAAACAATACTGTTTGAACAGCCCTGTTCCATTACCTACTACCCATCTAAAAGCTAAGTGGTATTTCTTTATAGAAAATGATTTACTAAGAGGAACTGTAAGGGACTTGAGGTTATTTTATACAATTTATTACTAAGAACAATGACAACCAGAAGAGTGGCTAACCCAAGGCATTGTAAATGCTTTGACTCCATCAGTGTAGCTCAAAGGCTAAACTCTGCCTGATCTACACCTTTAAAAAAACCCCACACATAATATGGGGGAAAAAATGGCCCTTGATATAGAATACAATCCAACTTGTGTTGTGCAAAATGCTTACAAAACAACCGAAAGAAATGTTCTGGTTTCAGTTTGGTATAGTCAGACTGTCATCCCACAATCTTTATTACAAATATTGAGAGCTGCTGTGTTGCATTTTGAGCTGGTTCAGAATGATTTATTGGCTTTTGATCAGAATATTGAAAAAGAAACCCTTTTCCAAAGAGCATCTATGTAAAACCAAATGAAATTAGTCAAATTATTAATGAAAGCATTTACATATATAACTAGTTATTTAAAGATCTAAAACTCAGTACAAAACTCTGGCAGTGGGTACTGAGAAAACCAATATGTCTACTTAAGTTCCTACTCAGCATCAAACAGGTCTAGTATGTGGGAGATATTGACAAATACAAACACTTATTTCACTAACCTTTTTACCTGACCCTTCCTAAATGAAGTCAAAGGCAAAACTCCTTAAATGTGGGGGGGAAATCCTGGAGTTATCTAAGTCCAGGCTCTTCAGCCCATAACCATAGCAACAGAATGCCACCTGGGAACACAATGTGCACTCTTGCTAGCCTACTTCAATGTAATAAAGTAACCTCATCAAGATCCCCAGCCAGAAACTAATCAGTTACATCCCAAAGTCCAGGCAGTAAAAAGAGAAATGCCTGGTTTGCCTTAGTTGATGAATGGAAGTAAAAGGAGTTAAAGGGTGCCCCCAACCCCAAACATCTGGACTCTGTCCTCCTACTCAATATAGATTCAGATTATTTGAAGGACCACTTGCAATGTTTTGAACCAGAAATAGCCCAGCTTTTCCACAATCACTATTACTCTTCTACTTTTTGGACTTAGTTGCTGTAGTGATGAATGTTAAGTACCTTTGAAAATGCTCAAAAAGTTGTTATTTTTCTTTTCAGAGATCCTTTGAGACTGAAATGCCTATTTAAAGAAGGAAGACGGCATGAGATTGGATTCAGTACAGTAAAGTAGATTAGTTTGAGGACAAGGAAAAAAGTCATTATTTAGACCTTCTTGTGTTGCCGTGATGAGAACTTACCATTGCTTCTGGCTGCTGTTTTGGGCTGGTCAGCCCCACCAAAGTTTCTTAACTCCATTATCCAAAAGGACTAGTGTCTTTCCAGAAAAGGAAAAGGTTTTGGTATTGTCTGGAAACAGCAGGCGAGACCTCCACCGTTCCAAAAGGAGCTGGATGTGGAATCAGTTCTTTTTATTGGAGGAATACACAGGAACTGACTACCAATATGTTGGCAAGGTAAGATTCTTTCATGTGCATCTATATTTTGATTTTAGAAGCTCTGGGAAGCCAGCAGTAACAAGTAGGTAAGAACAATGCCTGCTACAACTTTTAGTTCACCTTTCTGTCTGCCCAGCTTCTGCTGAGGAGTAATTCAGCGGAAATGTTAGTATTCTTTAGCTTCAAATTGTAATCAACAACAGGAAGTTCCTCATTTAACCAGTGTGTCCCATGGCCAATCATGCACAGTTATGTTTTTAGTTTTTGTCTGGAAATAATGCAGCTTAATTATAGGGTTGTCTAGGCCAGATTTTTAGTTTTAAAATGTAATATGCATTTTTTCCCTCATGGTCATTGATTTTGCCAGAGTCAAACTATAAAAAACAGAAGAGGTTTTTGTCCAAGATATTTAGGATTCACAGTACCTGTATTTTGGTAAGAATTCTCTCTACCCAGAAGAAGGCAACTGTTTCCCTTTTTATTCCCCACAGCACACAACAATGCTGCAGCTATGAGGTTTCGCAGTGCCACTGAGGACTCTCTGACATGGACATAATACCACAAGCCATGTTATTACAAAGAGTTGAAGTACACTGTGCTTATACACTAAGCAGCAGCAGGCAGCTGCCCAAAACATGCTGACAGTTAGAAAAGGGTGTGTAAAAAATAATAATAATTTAAAAATCACAACTTAACTCTGAGAATATCCACCTCCCTGAGCAGCAGCAACCACCCCCACCCCAATGCAGGTAAACAACCTTTATGTAAATTGTAGAGCTAATGCACCTGTGGTAAGTCTAGAAAGAGTCTACACTGCCCAAGGTGCCATAATCTATAGGAGTCTCTCTCACAGAATGCAGAAATTATGCTATTGATGATGACATTCAAAGCAGAAACAATACAGCTTATTTTTCCAAACTAAAATGGGATTGTGTCTGATCTAGTTTGATCTCTCAAGCCTCTTAGCAAAGGCTGCAGATCACAGTGGTTTGACATTTTATCTCCCTCTGCAAGGTTCTGAGCATTCCCATGAGAGATGGTGGCTGCTTTTCTTGCCTGCCCATCAGCTGTCAGTCAAAGTTGGAAGTGACACTCCTTTCCTCCTAAATGGCTGCAAGGCATGATTCAAATGAAGAGCTACTCAGCTGGTATAATACTCACAGAGCTCTGACCGGGGTAATCAGCATTCATGAAAGGTACCATTGAGCCCAATCTATAAGAAAAAAAAAGCCAAAGGCAGAGAGCCCTCGGAGAAGAGAAATAGAGAAGGAAGATAAGAGGGTGAGAAAAAAAGTCAGAAGAGAGTAGAGGAAATAACTAGAAAGACAGAGGCGGAAGGAGAAGAAACTTTACAAAGCGGAATCAAGATAGACAAGGGGAAAGGGATATCAAATGGGGGTAGAGGATAGCCATTCGGAGAAAATGTTACCTAAAGAGAGCACAAATTAAAACACAAGATGAGAGAATGAAGGAAAAAAAAAATCAACCCACAACAGGTAATAAATACGGAGTCAAGGGAAAAAAAAAGAAAACAAATTAAAAAACAGAAGTCCTCCACACACTCTCCTATTTCACAGTCTGCTCGGGGTGGGGGGGGGGGGGGGGCGGCAGGTTGGGGACTC